TCAACCTCGCTGTGAACGGGGACACGGAAGGGGCCGGTGAAACGCATGTCTTGTCACTGCAAGACCCCGCTTCAACCGCGCTGTGAACGGGGACACGGAAGGGGCCGGTGGAATGCATGTCCCGTCACTGCACTACAGGCCTGTGAGGTCCAACTGCCCTACACTAATGAAATTCAGATGTCTAAAATATTTACGTGACAGCCACCACGATCACTCCACTAAATCTGATTACTCTATTAAAAAGCATCAGTTAAAATTTTACTTCCTGATTATTCGGCAATACGGCGGGAGTAAGACGGCGCTTATAAAGAGCAAAAACCATTACTTGTGTGGAAAAGCGAAAGTGATTAGTTGTCATTGGTGACACACCGCAACACACAACAAAATGAGTCCTCTGCATTTAACCCACATGTGACGTTGTGACATAACAGGGGCAGCTAATTCAGCGCCCAGAGAGCAGTAACACGCACAGGGTACCTCAGGGGTACTTTGCTGGTCGGGGATTCGAACCTCACTAACCATTAAGCCACCACTGCCCCTGAATTAGAGGGCATATCACATTAAAACTGAATGAAAATGCAGTCATCCGTCAGAACTGCAAAGCAGAACTTAAATATCACCACAGCATGACTGCAATGAAAATACAATAGAGAGAGGTGGGGGGAGGGCACACTGATTACAGCACATGGCCATAAGCAGCACACAACTAACCTCAGGAATGAGAAGCGGAGTGCAGTGGGTGATACCTCAGCACCACACTAGTCCAAACAGACCAGTGAGAGTTTTTCCCCAGTGACTGGAGTGCCAATCCTGCCAGCAACCCTCAAATTTCCCTGTAAGTTGGAGGGCTGGATGTGGATTAACATCATACCCAGGACAACGCAATTGCAGGTTAAGGGCCTTGCTCAAGGGCCCAGCAGAGTAGGATCACTACTGACATTCACAGGATTTGAACCAACAACCTACTGGTTACTGGCACAGAGCCCTAGGCTCAGTCCCACCACTCCACCCAAAACACCATAAAGGAGATGAAATTACCTGAAATAACCTATAGAAAAACAGAACTTATCTACCAGCTGAGCAAGTCAAAAAAGCGAGTGGTGCAGCCAGTGTGTGAAAGACAATGCAGTGTCGACAAATGCGATGTGATTACTGCACATCTGCACTTTGCAATGCTGAAACAATATATCGTGCAGATCTAAAATATATTGTGCAACCCTATATTATACATAGAATTATATAATATATAAATATACAATCGTAATATATAAATGACTGCTTGATGAATCATCAGATTAAATCAGTAGATTATTACTAATATAATTGATAGTGACAGTCCTAATTTACATAATCAAAGGCAAAAATCCATATTTGAATTTTTGAATATTTATGTAGGCTACTATTAGTTATCAAATACTTGTTACCTCGTTTGTAAATTGGCCCTTCTCGCTTAGCGTAGAATAAGGAATGTACCACTAGGGGCAGACTTATGACAGTAAATGATCCCTTATTTACCATTTGAAAAAGTACATTGGAATGCTTCCCGACGTTGACCCCATCTTGGTCTCCATGAGACACACAGACACATACAGGTGAGAGCGAGCTGGGGGGGG